AATTTTTAAAGTCACACACACACACACAAGCTGGGTGATTTTTCACAATGCATCCACTCAACAATTACTAAGAGCATCCTACATCTTGGGCACAGAGGAAGAAAGAAATGAATTAAACTCTGAACCTCCCCTTAAACATTTCACAGTTTTGTAACAAGGCAAAAACATGCAAATAGATGACAATATAATTCATTCATTCAAGCAAAAGCATCTCTTTTATTCCTTAGCAATGAGTTCATGCGTTAGAAGGGAAGAAAAGTACTTAAATACACACGTGCAGTACCTTAAATGCTACAGTACAAGTACATAATATGCTGAGAGACATAGAAAAAGGAATATTTGGAGGGTATTAGCTGTTGGGGGGAGATGGGGAGAATGAGGGTGGGGAAGTCACTGAAGGATTTGAAGAAAAGTAAGAATAATGTGTGGAGTTTCATTTTTTGGAAAGGTCATTCTGGCAAGCAAGAAGGAAAATAAGGCTGAGGCCATGACTTTGTTAGAAGATGACAAAGTATAGGTATGAAGAAGGAGCTGAATTAGGTAACACAGATTATTGGAAAACAGGGTGAGTTTTGGAGGGATATTGGAAAGCATTATGTCCAAAGGCCCAGGATATGTCACTGGCCTCTCCTCCTTCTCTCCCATCACATGAGCCTCTCTCAAGGAATAAAAGCAAAATAGTGGTAAATTAGAAATGATGTTTATGTACATACCATGTAGTGAAATGGCAGAATATAGTATTTGGAATTTGCATCCTAGTGCACTAATAAGGAGTTTGTACATTAACCTGGAGGAACTAGGGTGTGGACCAAGTGTTTAAAGTATATGATAAAAATAAATAAAGTGTACAATTAAATTTCACTAGAAAGTAACATTGGTAGAAAGACAAAAGTTAGATTGGAGTGAGGAGATATCAGAGGTACAGAAAAAGACACTGCTGTGTACTGAAAGGAAAATTTAAATTTCCAATTTTTATCTCATAAAGGGATTGAATTTACCTAAAGGAAATTCTATTTCTTCATAGAATAAATGTGTTTTACAAGTTGAATTGCCACTGATGACTAGAGCTAAAAAGTTTCCTATGTGGAGGAACGGTTCTAAGTAATTTACATAGTGCCTCATTTATCCTAAGGTGTTATTATTCAGTTTGTGAATTGAGAATCAAATGGGTTAAGTAACTTGTTCAGGGTCATCGAGTAAATGGTAAGGGTAGAATTTGAATCAAGACATTGTAATGTCAGTTCCTGAACTTATGGTCATTATATCACTAAACTATGTTTAGTAAATAGACCTTCAGAAATTTTTGCTACTTATACTCAGCACACCCACAGACTCTGGAACCAGACTGCATAAGTTCAAGTCCACTTTGCACCACTTAATTGCTATGGGAAGTTATTCAAGTTACTTCCCCAAAATGTAACTTTTTCTCTATCAGTAAGTGGGGACAATAATAGTGTTTGCCTCCTAAGGCATTTCTAAGGACTAAATGAGTAAATGCAGAACACAGATTTAGAACAGAATCTGGAACATATTATACATTCCATAAATTTACCTGTTATCACTATTATTCTAATGGAAACCACTGACAATACTAAAAAATGGTAGATACATTGCATGGGCTAATTGAGATCTTATTAGGCAGAATAATGGCCCCTCAAAATGTCTCCATGTCCAGTACTCAGTATGGCAATATATTACCTCATTATGACAAAAGGGAACTTTCAGATATGATTAAAGTTATAGACCTGAGATAGAGAGATTGTACTAGATTACCAATATAGGTCCAACCTAATCAGTTTCTTAAAAGACTGTACTTAGAGAGTGAAACAGTTGGAGAGGTAACAGAAATCACTAGGATGAAAAGATCTCAACCCACCATTGCTGGGTTTGAAGGAGAAAAGAAGTTGCAATGCAAGGAAGGTAGATGGCTTCTAGAAGCCAGGAACATCCATACCTCAGCTGCCAGGCAGTAAAGAACCAGGGCACTCAGTACTACCACAGCAAGGGACTAAATTCTGTAAATAACCTGAATAAGGAAAATTATATATAATTATACATACATATATACACATATCTCCAGTATACATATATATTATTCCTTTGAAAGAAACAGTTTTGTGGACACATTGCTTTTAGCACAGTAAGACAGAGCTGGATGTCTCACTACTGAATTGTAAGATGATACATTTGTGTTGTTTTGAGATACTTTGTGGTAATTTGTTACAACAGCAATAGTAAATGAAAGTAAGATCAATGTTTAACTTTTTCCTAAAGGACTCAAATGTATTGATTTAAGAACTACGAAATATGCTAAAATAAATTTAACTTCTAAAAGTCAGCAATTTTAAACTATGTTTGGGGCATAAATCAACATCTCCTTTATATTTCTATTGTTAAATTCCTTAGTACATTAAAAAAACCTGAAAGACTAAGAAAATATCATAAATAAGATGCTATTTTAATTTTTCTTATCTTTATATTTAAAGATAAAAAAATCTGGTTTCATTTTTCCTTTAGTTTTTCATAACTAAAGGACTAATTAAGTAAACTTTTTTTTACTAGTATTTTATTAATCTTCCTTAACATGCCAGCAGGAACACAGACATTCTAGGTTTGCAACAATTAACATGTTGACTTCACAGAGGTAAGACACTTAATGACAAAATACACTATGCCTTGGTTATTATCTTTTTTTTCTTTTCACTGATTCTGAATTGAAACTCATTAGTTCCATGAGAGTAAGGGCCATGTTTGGGTTATTTACCTTTCTATCAATATGGCCTACTAATACTTCTAGCCCCCAGGAGGTTTTTGTTAAATAAGAATGAGTAGTAAATATATTTTTAAAGCAAGTTAAAAAAATGGAAACATCTCTCTTGAAACCTCAGTTTACTAGTTTACTAGAATACTAAGGTATAATGTATCAAGAGATTAAGCAATAATAGCAGAAACTACTTAAATATTTCCAACAGAAATCTTAAATGTTCTACATTTTGCATTCCAATCCGATTCATTAGACAAGTCAAATTTGATAATTTGGTATCACTACTATGATCAGTAAACAGTGTGTTCACAAGCCACACAAGAGGTACCATGAACTGAAGCTTGCTTCTGAAAATGTCCTGTATGTCAGTCTACTTTTGGTCTGTTTTCTCCCTTTCAGAAAAATTAAGTGTAGCACAGTACAGTAACAGAAGGCCCACCTGAGAAATGTAACATGACTGCCTTCCTTCACAACTGCCAAGTGAAAGACTTGGTCTTCTTACCGGGGAAGGTAAGTGATTACCTAAAAGGTAACCTAGGTCTAAGGGATAGAGCACTATCCAAAGGAAATACAATGCAAGCCATAGATGTAATCATTAATTTTCCAAAATATTCTCATTGCAACATGTTATCAATATGAAATGATGCACTTTCTTTTCATGCTGTGTTTTCGAAATCCAGGGCCCATTTTCCACTTAACACAGATTTCAATCTGTCCCACCCACATGTCAGGAGGCTAGTGGGTACTGTGTTGGCCAGCTCCAGCTGTAGAAAAATTACCTCTCCTGCACCTAAGTGAACTACATACTCCATCAACTTGTAGCTCCTCCTCCATCTCATTTGCACTGTTGGTTCCAGTGTTGGGAAAAACTTCCTTATAAATGGTCTAAACCATCACATCCTCCTCCGATCTGTTTTTCCCAAGATCTCTTAATGTATGGGGGGAGGGCACAAAATAACAGACATAAAGATCTTAAATTATTTATTTGTAATGTAAAAAATGATTTGAACAGTATTATAGTTCATTAATAAATGATTTTATCTTGTCCATAATGTTTCAGATTGTGAATAACAAATAAAAAAAAGTGGGGGGGGGCGTTCTGGTAACCCTGGTTTTACAGGAAAAATTCTAAAAAATCTAACAACTAAGCTTTTATGGGACTGATTTCTCCTTTGGTGGGACTGGGGGAAGGTGAGCGCCTGCTGTGAGTCAAGAAATAAAAAGTTCCTAAAACCTACTCCAAACGTGAAGCTTTCTTTACCTACCTGACTCATGCAGACCTCAAGCAAACCCATCAGACCTTTGCCATCCAAACTATAGCAGGCGAAGGCAGGGGTAACTATCGGCACCAGCTAAACATTTTCATTGCCAGGTGAACGCTCAAAAAATAGCTTCCCTCGGACGCACGCAGGCCCTGGAAACCCTGACTCAGTTCCCCGGGGTGGAAGCGTTAGGCTGCCCCGGGGGTGATTCTGACCCACCCGGCGGCCTGGGGCTCCCCGCCCAGATGGGGGTCAGTGTGTCCAGCCTCCCGGCAGCGCCTCGGGAGCCCAGTTTTGCAGGGCGCGGCTGGCCAGACGGCAGAGGGCTCGGCCCCTCCTAGTCACACGACTGCCCCAGCCCCGATGCTGTCCCCCGCCCAAAGGGGGGCACCCCTTCCCTCCAGGCCCTCCTGCGGTGGCCCCAGCTCAGGGCGAAGGCGCGCCGGAGGTGCTGGAGCGCCCCGCCACCACTCGGCGGCGCCTGTCCAGCGGCCCACTGCGGCGCCCGCGGGCCAGGAAAGCCCTGAACGCGGAGAGCCGGGGCTTCCCCGCGGCCCCTTGACACCGAGGCCGCGGCGCGCACGGCCTCCGACCCGGGGCTGACCGGCTCGCGACTCTCCTGCCAATCAGACTCGGTTTTCCTCCGAGCGGCCGGCCGGCCAATCACGCGCGCAGGTGTCCTCTTCGGCTCTTCGGCCCTTCGGCCCTTCGGCTCTTCGGCCCTGCGGCCTTTCGGCTCGTCGGCGTTCCGGGGCCGGGCTCTCCCGGGCCTTCCGCCGGGAGCCCCAGCGTAGCGCTCGTTGGTTTCATTGCCCTTTTTTTTCAGCTACTTCCGGGTCCTGCGTCGCTCCGGAAGCCCGCGAGTCCCGAAAGCCGGGGTAGCCCGGGTTCTGCTAGGAAAAGCCAAGCTTCCAGGGAATGTTTCAGGAAAAGTTACGTGGAGCGTGGTGGTTTCGCAGACTCCTAAGGTCAGTGTCTGCCAGAGAGCCGGAGAGCAAACCTGAGGTTTCTCCCTGACAGCCGGGCGGGCGTGGAGTTTCCCGACCTTGTGATGGTCTCCTTTTGCTTAAGTTTGCCTGTTTCTTGCCTGCCTGTTTTTCTGGAAGAGGCACATCAGAGTCTCCGGATTTGGGGACAGCAATGAAACAGACATCACCCACCCCTAAAAATAGTCTTAGAACGGTCCTGTTAAAAAAAAGAAAGGAAAAAGCTAAACTAGAGCTCTTGTGCATACATATCACGAAGTGACTTGAGAGACTAACTTCGAAATCTTTTCCTCGCTCTTCGCGGTGGTGAGAGTACCTCTGTGAGTGGTTTTATTAAACATCATGTGCGATCCAGACTTGACTTAATACCTGATGGCTCGTGTAAAGTGGGTACCGAAAAACTGAGTGTGCGTAAGTTACCAGCATTTTTGAAAGCTTATGAACTTAAAAGCAGTTTTGGTTTTCTTGAGAAGAAAGCTGTTTCCTTCTAAAATGGAGACAAATTTGTTATATTTAGCATTGATTGCTGATAAATATGAGAAATTAAAAATCACTAGCACTTTCTTTTGGGGCCTGGAATTGTTTCTTGGTCCCTTATTTAGTTAGATTTTGCAGAAAGAGAACTTTTAGTGAAAGAACTTTTCACAGTATCAGAAATGTACAAGTCTACCATATGATACCTCTTGAACATTTTGTGCCTTGACAGTTTCAAGCAATTACAGTGAGACTGAGGCTCCATCCACACCCGTTTGTAGTCTAAACAACCCCTAATGTGTTACCTTTAGTTAAACCGGAACATGATAAACTTGGGATGACTGACTTTTCGTTTTTCTTTTTTACTTTATTTTCAGTCTGATCTAGCCCATATTATCAGTTACTTCTATCCAGAAAGATTAGAGTTGATTTGACCTTGAGCCAGATGGGATTTGAAAGAAGAGAGATGATAGATCTCTTAAGTCAAAAGGAGAACCCTCTTTTTAAAAAAAAAAAAAAAGAAAAGAAAAGCAATGAAAATAGAAATAGCCAAACATAGTTGAGAGAGTGTTAGGCAAAATCAAGAGAATTGAGTTCTAGTCTTAACATGGTTTTCCATTGACTAACTCTACTTCTTGGCCTTATACCCTTCAATTTAGAAATGAGAGGTCTGTGGTTTTAAAATTGTCCAGAGAACAACTCCTATAGAAATTTCCTGGAGCCATACAAGCCAATCCTCAGCAGTATTTTACAAACGCAGCTATTTTATGCATTCTACTTGAAAAATGGGATTTCTGTTAAGAAAAATTAAGTTCATGTCTTAAAGTAGATGTCTTCTAGCACTAAAATTGTGTTATTCATTGTGCATTTATTTGATTATTACAGTTTATAATAATAAAAAAAAATAAAGCACAATCTATGTTTCTCTCTGCCATATGCACTCTTTATTTATGAACAAAAGTCATGCTCCAAATCACTCATTTCTTTTTTTTCCACCCCTCCCTTGATTACCTTGGTTGAAAAACATAAAAGCAAATTGGATGTCCCTTTAGCTCTTACCTATGAAATAGCTGCATTACATGTTCCTTTTTAATTCCTTGAGAATGTGGATGAAACCTCAGGATAAAAGCCCTGCACTGCTTCATTGGACCCGTGTCTAATCCTGCACTGCAAATGCCAGAGTTGTGATTTCTATACCTTGAAGTAGAGGCAGGGAAAAAGGATGTCTAGCACCCTCTGCCCTTCCCCTCGGGGGGGCTGTTCATCGTCTTCTCAACCATTTCCCATCTACATATAACATATTCTAAGTATACTCTCTGTTGCTTTTTATTTTTAATACAGTTTCCTTGTATCAGAAACTCACTCCTACTTGCCTGTCAATGAGGTGAGGTAAAATTTCATGCTAGTTGTCTTTTCTTCTTACTATTAAAACATAAAAACCAAGAGCTTTAGTGTCATTCTGCTTTGATCATGCATAACTACTCCCTTCCTGTGTTACATAAGTAGGTATTGCCTCTACCTTACATATAGTGTGTGTTTATAGTAGTTAAATGAATTTTCATGTCTCATATTTTCACCCACATGCCCCTTTTGTCCAGTTTTGACATTCCATCCCTTTGAATGGCTCTCTGACCACATGTATGGAAGCAGGGAGAAGGAATGTAGAAGAGATGCAACATAGGCGTTTAATTTTTTTTTCTCCATCCACAGTCCTAAGAGCTTGACTGGTAGTCTAATTTTTAGAATTATCATGGGGAAAATTTTTTTTCTTTGAGTTCTGCAGGGTTGAATTTGATCCAAGGTTACCAAATATCCAACTTTGTATGTTCCGGAATTTCTCTAGTGCAACCAGAAATTTAATAATTGCCAGCTTGACCTTAAACAGGTTATTACTCTTCTCAGGCCTTAATTTTTGCCTTTTTAACATGACACCATAATACTTACTGTGTTATGAGAATTAAATGTGGTGAATATAAAGGAAAAATGGAGTGTCTTTGTAGATAAGTATTCCTTTTTCATTGTTTTTGCCTCTGTTCCTACATGGATCTTCCACATTCTTGCCAGTGCCATAAACTGTATAGCTAGATATCTGCTCCAGTAATTTTCTAGTCATTTAGAATTCTGTTCATAGGCAAGTAGATCCTAAAACCCTTTTCACAATTAATAAAGTACTTGGAGATCTAGTTGTTTGTGTTTCATGTGACTGTGTTCATTCAATTTTGGGTTAGAATTTTTGCCATAATTCATGCTAAGTACTTAGCATACTTTAGTACTAATACTTGCTTCTTGAAATACTCCCATCTGCTTGTCTGACAGTGCTGTCCAAAAGAACTTAACCTTTAAGGCTGCTCACTATCTCATTAATATAGGACACTGGTTCAGAGCCTGGCTCTGCCACTTCTGAGTTATTTTACACAAGTCAGCTAATCAGTGTCTCTGTGCCTCAGTTTCCTTGTTTTAAAACAAATAATAAAAGAACCACTTTCATAACATTGTCAGAATTAAATAATGTTTGATTTTGCAAAGAGTTGTCACTTACTCACACTCAATAGCTGGTTAGTATGTGTTTTCTACAGTTGTAAACTCACAGATTGGTAGGGGTTATCTTCTGTAATGCTTCCCTGTGTCTTTCCGTGGAGAAAGACATCTTCAGTATTACCATTTCTGGAGTTAAAATGACTTTTTTAGTTTTCTTCTCCAAGGTTTCCTAAAAGCAGTTCTTGTAGGAAATCCTTATAAGGATTTAGATTGGTAGACTTTTTACAGTAACTTTTTAATTTTTTAACAGCCAAAGAGTGTAGTGTGATAAAATGACTTGTCCAGAGTCACACAGCCTGTTGGTGAGCCTGGGTTAGAATACAGAGCTAATCAGAACCAGTTTAACTTTCTTTCTCCCCCACCATATTCTCTCAAACATCTGCTCTTTATTTTTGCAATGTGCTTTCTCTCTTAAAGACTCAGAAGTATCAGCTTTCTGAAAGAAAAGATTATGAGTACCATACTGTTCTCTTAAAAATGTATTTGTGAAACTATGCCAAGGTGTAAGAAATTCTGTTTTAAGGTTTATTTTGTATTAGTTTTAGGTCCTTGAATAAATAGAGCATAAATGAAACAAGTAGGATACTTAATTGTGGAAGACTAATGATAGTCTTGAAGATTATAGTATTTAATCTCCAAATTAAAAACAAAATACCCTCTGTTAGGGCAGATTGCTTATCATTCTTCATGGTATTTTGAAATTTGTCAGCTATGTTTTAGAAACATTTTGTTGTTTACCCATTATCATCCTCAAAAAAGAAAAATCTTATTTGGATTTTGATGAGGATTGCATTGTACTTAAAGATAACTAGAGATTGTGTCTACACATAATTTTTAAATACCAAAGGAACACTATAGGGATTTTTAACATCAGATATCTATAAACTATTGAAACTAGTTTGTATATGATGAAAGTGAGGAACAAAAGAGTAATGACAACTCACTTAGCAATTCTGTAGCAGAAGTGGGATTTGAACTTATAGTTGTTGATTTCTACACCTATTCATAGTGCCAGAGGTCACAGTGTTCTAATGGGTATCAGCCATAGCTTTTTCTCTTTTGCTCATGTCTGAAATGTGTTCTGGGAATCGGTGTCCTGTTAAATTCCTCTTTGATGCATGTCCCATTTATTAGTATTGATTTCAATACAATGGACAGTAAATCTATCTGACTACACAAAGGAAATAAAATAGTAGGGGGTAGGTTCAAACCTTAAGATCTCTGATTATAGCACTTTATTCATATAACCTCATGATATAAACTGTTAGTTTACAATTTTAAAAACACCTAAAGGGGAAAAATGAGTATATGGTCTCCACTTTAATTACTAGAACCCTTAGGATAGTGTAATAGGAACACGTCACACCAAAAAGTAAGTTGACTATTGTGGATCTGGAAAAGGATAGCCTGGAAAGGGTACATGGATGGATTTGCTACCTTAGAGATTATTTAGCAATCATGTTGCTGACAAAGTTTACAGGAGTGTAAATTTAAATGTAGAATTTTTGTAGGCAGCATGCATTGACAAGTATGCCTAATGGTAATACATCTAGTCCAGAGAGTCTCGGGAACAGGTCAATAATAATGTGTATATTGATAGCAGCAATGTAGGAGATGTTACTTGGTTTTATAGCTAAAAATCCATGTTATCCCCTTAATCATAATTACATTAATATTGACAGACCCTTGACAATATCCACATTATTATTGATAGATTTCTGTCAATAACATGTTTTTAAATAAAATATATTCATTCATAATTTGTGTGATATTCAATAAAAGCTCTAAGTACATCCTGAAAAATTCTTCCTCCTTCAGTGAGAGAAAATCATTTGTTTTGGTTTTGGAATGCGATGTAAATTACAGAGTTTTATTTTGGGGAATGAAAAGCATAAAAGGAAAGCATGAGATACTTAAGGGATGATATTATTGCTGCTTTTTGGTAGACATATTTCCAGCATATTTCCAGTTTTTTTCTTGTGAAAGAAAAGCAGTGTGACACATCTAGTGATAAAATGTCAACAGGAGATCTTTTTAATAGTTTTAGTACTAGATCATTTTGTCTTAAACATATTTATGTGACAAGTTAATCACACTAACCTTAGCAGATACGGTAATTTTTATCAGGTCTTGATTTTGCCTTAAGGATATTTATCACATAAGCTTAACATAGTATCTTTCACTATGCACTCATTATTTAATGACAATTGTACTATTAATTAATGGTTTTTATAAGTCTCTTTGCATGGCCAATAAATGTTTCCCCCTAGGTTAGCCTTTTAGGTTCTTAAATTAGTGTAGTTTGGAAAGTGGGGTGGGAGACGGTATAGGATTGTGTATTAAAAGATATGACAGAAGAGGAAAAAACATTGCCTGTTTTTGACATTCTGGAAAAAATCTATGTGATTTAGATCTGATGGTGTTTGCTTCAATTCAAAACAACCTCAACTTAAAAATAAAAAGATTAGCTTGTGCTTTTATTTTTAACTACTTAAGTTGGAGCCTACTTTTGTGAAACTAAATACTAACCTCCAAGAACCAGTATCATGGGGGTTGTTGGATTGTACTTAAACTCAATTTTTGAAAGTAAAGTAGAAAGTTTGGCCAATAGCTGGGTGTGGATGACAATCAATTTTAACAGTCAGGGAAGTACTGGATTACCAACAGTTGGGGATTTTTTTGATTCAAAATTTTGAAGATACCATATTCTTTGAAATGTTCGTAATTTTTAATGAAGCAAGTTAAAATACTTCTGTCTTTTTCAGAAAGGTATTAGCATATTAGTTAAGGTTCTTGGATTATTGCAAGAATCCTATAACTGGCCTCCCTGATCTGCAGTTTTTTTTTTTTATTTTTCTTCAGTGTTATTGAACTCTGCCATCATCTTAATCTTTTAAAATTTATATCCTGTTGTGCCTCTTCAATGATTTTTAATGCCTATTAAATCAATGCAATTTCCTTTAAAAAGTGTCTTTTTGCAGTGGGTTGACTCGTCAGCTAGTCTGTCTGGCTCTGGTCATAGCAGATGACTTGTTTCTTTGCTTTCAGATAACAGCAACAACAACAACCATGGATGGGGATTAAGTCACTAAGGATGCAGCTCATTCTGGAACCATCCCCGTATCAGCTAGACCATGCTCAGGTTTCATGGCTTGCACATTCCAGGGTTTGCAGGACCTGTTCCCTTGCCTTAAATACCTTTTTTCTGTTTTCTGCCTGGGGGATTTTGTGATCCTTTATAGTCACTTTGCAAGGTCCATTCTTTATGTCAGTGACTAGTCCTTGTTAGTAACAGTAATCGTAAAAAAGATAGTAACATCTATTCCTGTTCAAATGCTTGAATAAAAGGAATTTAACTGAGAGTTAAATATTTGGATTGAATCTGTGGTACCTAGGAGAATGCCTGGCATTTGGTAGGCATTCAATAAATGTTGGTTAAATTGTGTAGCCATTTATCAGAGAACTAGAATTCACTAAAACACAAACTGTTTATATTGAAAATAACTTTCTGTGCTTTAAAGGCATTTATGGCATTTTTCTGTGTTTCACACCTATTATGGACAAATGTTACTGTATAGCAGTGAGGGAACGAGGCTCCATAATCAGATTTATTGAACTTTTAGTTGTCACTATTTTGTTAGTTTCTTCTACTCCTGGGCACTGCCCTCATCTAAAGATAGTATTCTAGAATAACTGTCCTGTGAGAAGGGGGCAGGAGAAAGGAGGAGGAACTTGAGTGTAATGTGTTGGTGGTAAACCAGGTCGAACACTTGTCTTGGACTGCCTGTACCACGTTCTGTTCAGTGAAGCGTCCTAGAGGTCAGATGCTTCCAGATTACAGGCACAACCATGTTGTTGGGAATTAATAATCAAGGCAACAGGTCATGCCGGGACCCATCCCCATTCTCTCAGAATCCCCCACCCCTTCATTTCCTATCAGGTAAGATGCCAGTTAAGAGTTCCACTGAACCATGTCTCTGTCCCTTTCCATTAGACCCCCGTACACACACACATAACAGTGACAACACGTTTACTTTAACTGCCACAGTTACGTTTTTATTATATTTTAATGGTGTAGTCAGTGTTTGTTGGGGAAAAAAAGATCTGTTATCACAAATTGAGGCATTAGTATGAGTAATAATAAAGATTTCAGTCTTTTGAGATGAGATTTGCCAAAATGAGCTCAGAGTCTTTTTCTTCTTATGTCCATCCCAGCCAAAGCAGCAATAATGTAATAATTCCAGATAAAACAGTATCTTTTTTAATCTTAACAGTTTTGTCAGGTAGCTATTATTTCCAACTTGTAGAAGAATCTGAAACTTCGTTTTTGTTTTTAATATCACATGGCAAGTAAGTGACAAAGCTGGAACTTGCGCCCAGGTCTGCCTGATTTTATATCTGCTTTTTCAACACTGTCACTGTTGCCTAAGTAGAAATGTTGAGTATAGGAGAGGTATACCACTCTAATGGACTCTGGTGTGTAATGGACTGCACTATGTTTACAGTTAAATTCAGAAAAATATCTAAAATGTTGAAAAAGAAAACCTACAACAAAAAATAGAGAAATTATTCATGTAGAGGAGCAAAGGTTAAAGAGCAGTTTAATAATAGTCTTTTGGTCTATTAAAGAGTTGTACGTAGGGGAGAAGATTGAACCCAGCTGTTCTTAATCTACACTGAGGCCAGGCCTGGGGAGAAAAAGAGGAAAGAAAAAAATGTTAAACTGTAACAGAAGGGATAAGAAAGAATTTTTTTGATAATAAGGATTGTTAAATATTGGATTGGTTAGAGTGTGTGTTAAGTCTCCTTTTCTGGCAGCCATTAAAAATTTCCATCTTTGCTAAATGTTCTTAAGTATGATTCCTCCAGAAACAAAGGATCTGAAATAGATGATTCCACTGAGAAACCACTTTGTCCAGTTTCTCACTAAATAAGTACTGTAAAGAACATAAGAAAAAGATGTCGTTTCTCACCATTCAGTTTATCTAAGATGCTCTCAAAATAGGTTAGTACATTGTTTATCTACCAGGGTATTCATTTCATAATGTATAGGTTCAATAACCCTTTATTGAGCAGCTACTATGAGCCCATCTTGGTGGTAAATTCTTTATGATTAATCAGATTTCATCAACCACAGTCTGGAACAGTTGTAATTCTAGTATTTAAAGATACATGAATTGATACAACTGCCCTCTAACATAAGCCATGTATTTCATCTGACACTTAGCTGACAAAATAATCTAATTCCAGGGACAGGGTGGGAGGTAATGGCTAGGGAAGGGAACTATGAACTTAATGTTGGTGTCCATTATGGTCAGATTTTTTTCAAGGTACTTTGACAAGAAGAGCACTTCCCTTATCTTGCTAACTATAGAATTTGAAATCTGGGGACATGCAGAGTTGTAGACACTGATAGGTAGGAGTTCCATATACCATAATCCCACGCCATGACTGATTGTAGAACTTTGCATGGGGAAAACTCAGGTAGGTATCAAAGTCACTTTGTAGATGGCAGGTGCTTTGAGATATAAGTTTAAATAAGGCATTTCCCCCTAAGTATATTATAGTCGAGTTAAAAAGATGCATTGATGATGTGTGTATTCACGTAACTGAAATCACAGAACAAATGGTTGAGGGTTCAAGATTCAAGTGTGTGGCACAGACAGTTACATCAAAACTCAAAATGATAGTGAGAGTTGGAGATACTTATGAAGGTTTTGTGGAAGATAGAAACTGATCTGGAAATGAAGGGCAGAGAGTTGAGAACCAGTGGCAATGGTTGGTAAGAAGGTTAGTATGTAAAGTGTGAGTAGGCACAGAGCACAGGACTGAAGGATTGTCTTGAATTAAAGGATTCATGTGGGAAATAGTGTGTTATAGGGTTACAGACATGGGGAGAGGAGTGGCAAGGTACTTTATCCTGGGGTAATAGAAAGGTAAGGAAGAGGTGGCTTGATGAGTGTGAGCAAATATTTTTGTAGATTTTGGTTCACTTGTGAGGTTTTTAAAATAGTTTTGTTTTTTTCTTAATTACATAAGTGATATATTAGAGAAAATTTATAAGCTGCAGAGAGAAGTAACAAGAATAATTCTTCATTGGCGATTTTTGTGTGAATTTTGGAGTTATTTTTCTGTTGAGATAGTTTGAAATTTTTCGTGTTGCCTCTGCGAGCCTGTGGTCCATATACCTCTTTTTTTGTTTTTTAAAGATTTATTTATTTTATACAAGAACCAGTGTACAGGCCAGATGCGCGGGAGGGTGAGAGGATTCATCGGAGACAGAGTGGGGAACAGAACAGGCAGACTAAGTGAAATACACTGCTGAGGGGAGCAGGGGGCGAGACAGGAGAGGTCTGCAGCACCATGTGGGACCCTCGCCGGCCGGCCAGGAGTGAACCTGCGCTGCAGAGGCTGCGGACAGCTTCACAGCGCAGCACTCAACCGCCTGCGCCACCAGGGGAGGCCCCATATACCTCTTTTATTGTCCTAGTTGTTCATTTACTTGCCTGTTTCCCTTGCAGACCTTGGGCAGGGTTCTTAAACAAGAGCCAGGGTGTATCTTTATCTTTGCATCCCAAGCATCTAGCAGGAGTAAGATGTATTGATGCTAATAGAGCTTGTGGAATCCAAGCTAATCTCACAAAGACTAGTTAGTAGAAGAAAGAGAAAGGCTGAGTAAGTGCAAGATTTGTAACAACCTCTGTAGATACAGGAATGAGAAATGAGTAGGAGTACTGGCATGCAGCATTGAACTGTATGAATGATAGAGATGTAAAAAAACACTAAGAATTTTGCTTTGAAATGGACTAGCCCAGTAATTCTTAAAATCACTAGGGATCATGTTAGAAATGCAAATTTGTGGCTTCATTTTCAGGCCTAAGGAATCTAACTCTAGGGCTAAGGCCCTGCAACCTAACAAGTCCTCCACAAGATCCTGAAGAATGGTCATGTTTGAAAATCTATAGACTAGAGAAACAGCAAGACTACAGTACTGTGATGTTGAAGACCATACCATACAAAAATTGAAAACCTAAATATACTTGTTATATCATTGAGCTTAACCACTGAAATGGTATAGTAGGTGGAACAGAAAAATTATGAGAATAAGATTGTATTGTTACAAAGGAAGTAGTAACAAGAGGATCTAACCAGGTCTCTGCCTTTCTGACTTCTGTATTTAAGGTGATCCAGTAGATTTAAGATAGATTAATCCTATGAAAAGTACCTCACACTCAAAATCTCCACCCAGATTTTTCTCTACCATATCCACATAGAACTGCCTACTGAGCTTTTCCACTTAGATGTCTCGAAGGAGCCTCAGATCTCTAAAATTGCATGTATTTATTACCTTTCCTTTCAAATCTGTATCTCTGCATGTGTTTTCTTTTTCAGAGAACTGGACTACCACCCACTCAGTTATTCAAGTCAAAAGTTATTCTTGGCTTACTTCTCACTAAATTTTGTCAGTTCTGCCATCTCATAGCTTTCCATTTTATTTATAATTTATAATTTAGACTATCATGGGTTTCACACTAGATCATTTTAATAATCATTTAACTATCATCTCAATTCCTCGAGTCTTTCAGCTTATAAACCATTCTCACTGTGGCCAGAATAAACTGTCTAAAATGCAGATTTGATTAGCTCTTTGCTTACATTATTCAGTGGCTCCCTATTACCATCTTTATAAAAGCCAGCCTCCCCAACTTTGCTTTTAGCCCCTTTAGGATAAGTCTCTTACTTTTCCTTTCCAGCTTTTTGTCCTTGCACCCCAGTCCTGGGCTATTCTCTCTGCTTGGAATGGTATCCTTACCTCCTGACACCATTAATCCTTCACATGGCTTAACAAGTTTACATCTTCCGTGAAGCCTTCTTTGATTTTCTGAGGTCTAGTAAGCACAATGCCCTGAATTTCCCTTTGCATATCACTCATCACACCTTATTATTTTACATGCCACATCCTCACTTTCCCCTTCCTCCCACCTACTAGATGATAGTCTTCACATGGGTTGAAAGGGTGTTCTACCATCATATCTCTAGCTCTGGCATACACATTGATAAGTGACAGTTATGTTTCCAACATATTGAAATAAGTAATAATATTTTGAATATCATGATTTGAAATAGTTTTAAAGGTTAATGAATAGGAATTTATATTTTCTACCCTTCACTGAACCCCTGTCCATTTGATACTGTTCTTGTATCCTTTCTTTTTTTTTTTTTTTTAAGATTTATTTATTTTTTTTACACAAGCACTGGGTACAGTCAGAAGCGCGGGAGGGTGAGAGAATTCACCAGAGCCAGAGCGGGGAATAGAACACGCAGACTGACGAAATACACTGCTGAGGGGAGCAGCGGGCACGTCAGGAGAGGTCTGCACGCCATGTGGGACCCTTGCCAGAGGCCGGGGATTGAACTGGCGCTGCAGAGGCTGCGGGCAGCTTTGCAGCCCAGCACTCAACCGCTGCGCCACCAGGGGAGGCCCTGTTCTTGTATCCTTTCATTCTAGAATTTATAGAGCACAATCTAGGTACCAGATGCTGTGCTCATTGGTAAGGTTCAAGTGGAACGAGACTCAATCTTTGTAACAAGCTTGTTGTCTAGAGAAGAAAATAGATAATTAAAAAGTAGTTTGTGCACAGTACATAAAATATTGAAATGGTTTAGGTACAGTCTATAAAGGCCAGCAAAGAGGAAGAAGAGTGCTATAGGAACACTAGAAGAGGCAGCTAACATAATTTGGAGGGTCAGGAGGAAATGATGCCTGTGCCAGTACTTAAGTGAGTTTTTCAGTCAATGAATGGGAACAGACTGTCCGGGCAGAGAGAACAGATAGCAAATGTCCTGTAGTGAACAAGAGAAGGTGGCACTTTATGACTAGCTGTCAAAGCATTAGGAAGGAAAGCAAGTTGGGGGTAGAGTTTGGGAGACTTGTGTTTTAGAACAATTGCAATATGGGGAGTGCACTGAAGGAGGTGAAAGGTAAGATAGATCGATTCAGTATAAACCAAGAAATTGAGAGCCACCAGAATTTAGGAAAAGGGTTGTGGGGATAGAGAAATGAATAGATTAGAAAAATATTTTGGACAAAGAACAGACTTTGGAAATGGATTTGTCGAGAAAGGAAAGGTAAGCTGTCTTTTAACTCCCTCCTTTCTTTCCTTTAGATCCTGGCTAGTGTGAGGCAAGAATATCAAAGAACAACTTGCAGCAAAAAATTTTATTACCGTACCTATAAGCTGAAGTCTTGAGGGAGCTGCAGGAAGGGGAAAGAGGAGAGTCACTCAAGAAGGCATTTATGGGTGAGACGCATTCCTGTCATATATCTCATTTAAGTGGAAAACAGCACTTAAAAAACCTATTATTTAATGGTCATTTTCATTTCCTATAGTTGAACTTGTTAAGCCACTAGGCCCTCTCTGCCACTAAGTCCTCTAGGATTCATGAATAATATAAAATTTTCCCTCTTCAAAACCTCTCTGTCAGAGATATTCAATTTCAAGAAGTACAACTTTATTTCAGGGTGAGCTTTCCAGCCCTTTTACCCTCTAACCAAATACATGTAACATCTTAATAGTAGAATCATAAAAATAATAGAATTTCAAAGAGTCATTTTGTCTTAGTTTTGTAAGTGAAGAAATCAAGGCAGAGATTAGATGACATGACTTATCCAGGATCACACAGCCCTGGTGGCAGTGAACTTCATTATGATCACTGCCTCCCTCTGGAACCCACTTCCTGTCTGTTAATGCAGAACATTCAGGGACCTAGAAATCATGACGACCAGGCTCATGAGTATTGAGGGCTAATTTCAGAAATTTAATTTTAACAGATTTTCAGTTTGGATTTGCCAGCTAATTAATAAAATATCAAATATCTGAACTGGTCTATATACTCCTTGGTAACAGCAAACACTGGATCTGTTACTCGCTTTGGCTTCACATAATAGGCATTTAATAAATGTATTTTGAGTCAGGCTTACAAGCTAACCATAAATCAGCTTTTATATTTCATTTTAAAACATTTTTGTTCCTTTAGTGCCTGTTTCTTTAGTGTATTTATGAAATGATTTTAGTATATTTTATGTCATTGTTTTCTTAGAAAACTGTGATGTATACCTTTTTATTTCCTTAATAATAACATTTCTGTGTTCATGTTGCTTTGCTAGTATTTGTTTTCTGCAATAGTATGATAGAATAATAAACTCTTATTGTTCATTTATTTTTCTCTTGTAACTTTATAAATATAAAGAGTATTTGAGAAAGATTAGAGGCATTGAAAAATATTTCTTTGAAATCAGGGAAAGTGCTGGAAATTAAAGTGAGATCTTGACTTATCCATCGCAGTGTTCCATAGAGTTCATGGTATTTATTAAGTTTGTATCCATCTCCATTAGTCATGTTATTATTTAGCCTCATCACTGTTAGCTTCAGGATTTTATTATCTCCCTGCTCAAATGTCTGATCAAAGCAGATTCTTAGTGGCTCGGTTCGGAAGTAGGATGCAACCTGCTAAAGCCTGTTATTCCTTTGGTAAGGAGAACCAAAAAAGGGGGGTGAAGGTAGGGAGAAGATTGGGAGAGAAGAGAAAGGAGAAGGAGGAAGAAGGTCCAAGGAAGAAGTGATTGTTTCCTACTATATTTATACTCAAAAGGCCCATCTTCTCAGGGCCTGTGGCATTTCTGTATCACAGCTTTCCACGGCTGAGTTGAGGGCAGGGCCCCATTGCAGCTGTTTGATGATGTACCCCTTCCATCCTTTTTCCTAGAGACCTTCAAAGAAGGCATGACTTCCAGAGAAGAGAGTGCGAAGGAGACCAACAGAGTGCTACGAATAAGTCAGTTGGATGCACTTGAACTAAACAAGGCCCTGGAGCAGCTGGTATGGTCCCAGTTTACTCAGTGCTTTCATGGATTTAAGCCAGGGCTGTTAGCCCACTTTGAACCAGAGGTGAAAGCATTCTTGTGGCTTTTCTTGTGGAGATTCACCATCTACTCGAAAAATGCCACTGTGGGACAGTCAGTTTTGAATATTCAGTACAAAAGTGATATTTCTCCGAACCTGAGGTATCAGCCACCTAGTAAAAACCAAAAACTTGGTTATGCTGTCTGCACAATTGGTGGGAAATGGTTAGAAGAACGATGTTATGATTTATTTCGAAACCAACATTTAGCATCTTTTGGGAAATTCAAGCAGTGTGTGAATTTTGTGATTGGACTTTTGAAATTAGGTGAATTGATTAATTTCTTGATTTTCCTTCAAAGGGGCAAGTTTGCAACTTTGACAGAACGTCTCCTGGGCATTCATTCAGTATTTTGCAAACCCCAAGGCATACGTGAAGTTGGCTTTGAGTATATGAATAGGGAACTTCTCTGGCATGGTTTTGCTGAGTTTCTGATCTTTCTCTTGCCACTTATCAATATCCAGAAGTTGAAAGCCAAGTTATCTTCATGGTGTATCCCTATTACTGGTCGTCCTAATAGTGACAACACATTAGCCATCAGTGGCAAAGAATGTTCTCTGTGCGGAGAATGGCCAACCATGCCTCACACTATCGGATGTGAACATATTTTCTGTTATTATTGTGTTAAGAGTAGTTTTTTATTTGACATGTACTTTACCTGTCCCAAGTGTGGCACAGAAGTGCACAGTGTGCAGCCACTGAAGTCAGGAATTGAGATGTCAGAAGTGAATGCCCTTTAGGCACTAAAATTATTTCCTCTACAGAAAACGGTATTATGTTTAAATCCTTAATATTAGTCATCCCAAGGATATCATTTAGTACAAAAGTGTTGGGTTCTCAGCCACTATCTTCTGTTCTTCCTAAGCGTGACTAAATTCTAATCCCTGGAAACCACATGATTCTCAATGTATTATGAAAACAGTAAATTTTTTTAAATCACTGCATCCAGTTTTTCATGTCAAGAATAATGGACAGCTTTTGTCAGGTGACTTCTAAGAATGTGTCTTCATTTTGTTACTTCCTGGAAGGAGGTTAAGCTGTAAAAATAAAGGATTTGGGAAATTCTAGGATGAATGTGCATTTCTTTTCAGAGGTGGTTTAAACCATCATAATCTGGCAGTGATAAGACACTGTTGTTTTAAATCTTAAGATCTGTTACCCCATTTGTAATCTTAAACCTTTCTCTGTAGCCAGCTTTCAAGGCATTCGGTTAACTTCATTCTCAGGCAGAATGATAGGCACCAGACGTTCAAGACTCAAGTTTTGCTAGCTTTCTGATCCCACCATAATGAGACCATCTTGCCTAATATTTCCAGCAGTATCCAATAGCTCACTGTCGTTGGTCTGCCTGGCATTACATATACATTCCTGAACCAGTAATCACATATGCCTCAGTAACCTAAAATGGGAGAGGAGGCTGTTCTCCACAAGAAACTGAGGGGCTGTCATAAAAATGCTAGATTCTGTCCTCCCTGGTGGCGCAGGGGTTAAAGTCAGCGCTATCAAGCTGTATCCAGCCGGTGCAGCAGGACTTGGATCCCTGGCCAGGGAGCTGACCCACGTGGTCAGCAGACCTCGCCTGTCTTGCCCGCTGCTCCCCTCAGCAGTGTATTTAAGTAGATCCACCTGTTCTGCTTCCCACTCTTGTCTTGGTGAATCCTCTCATACCCATACCTCTGGCCTATATTACCTAGTTCTTGTATGCATAAATAAATAAATCTTAAAAAAAAAAAAAAAAGAATGGTAGATTCTGAGCAGTTAATGATAACAGGGCCTTACTAGAGTCTACATTTGCCTTTTTTATACTAAAAGCTCACAAGCCATCTTTAATTCTATCAATGATCTATTTTGATTAGGACTTAAGTAACTGATTATCTTAGATTGTAGACTTAAAAGGATAAAGTCAACATGATTTTGTTCTACCAACAATTTTGTTATACTGTTATATTTACATCAGGCTAAATTCAAATTAGATGCCCATATTTTCATAATTTTAACATGAAGACACAATATATTGCATATATGCTAATAGAGTGATCAATGTATTTTTGCCCCACAGACCCTCATAATGGCACTTAGCTTAATATGTATTTTTAATTTTTTTTTTCATTTTTATTTAACATCTTTCACCCATTCCCCTCTCCCTGCAATAAGTGCTAACCCTCTTGAGATCAGGGAGTGTCACTCTTGCTCATCACTGGATAACTAGAGCCTCTCTCTTGTTCCCAGCATACCAATAGGAACATTTGTTAACTGAATAACTATTCCTATTTCACAGATTGGGTTTTACAGAAATAGTTTGCAGTACATGATACTCATAAAAGGAAATGGAAAAAAAAGGGGGGGGGACCTCCCTGGTGGCACAGGGGGTTAAGTCGCAGTCATGTGGAACTATCTGCAGCCACTGTAGCATGGCAGGAGTTCAAACCCTGGGTGGCCAGGGAACTACCCACGTGGCACAGCAGACCTCGCCTGTCTAGCCCGCTGCTCCCCTCAGCAGTGTATTTCAGTTGATCCACCTGTTGTGTTCCCCACTCTGTCTCTGGTGAATCCTCTCACCTCCTCTGGCCTGTACCCCAGTTCTTGTATGCACAAATAAAATTTTTTAAAAAAGTTTCAGGCAGAGAAATAGAAGTGTAATGTGGACCTGACAGCCTCAGCCAATCAGGAGAGAAACTAGTATTGTCTGACAGAATGGCCTAGACTGGGCCTAGATAGCCTTTTTACCTACACCTCTGTCACTGGAAGTGGACTGTTCTGGGAAGGCCGTGACCTCGAGAACAGCATTCTGAGCAGAGGCTGACCTGAAGGAGCTGACAGCTGGGGGCAGTCTGCTGACCCCATTCCCCACAGCTGAGCATGGAGTTCCTTCCTGAAGGAGGAACTGTGTGACTATCCTGATGTACCACATCTAAAACTGCCTTCGTTGTTTTTTCTTGCTTGTAAACATTCTTAATCAACAACACATATAATGGCAGATAGTGTTCAGCTTAAAATCTGGTCTGTGACTCATTTGTACACTCAAGAGCTGCTTTGAGGAGCTCTGCCTCCCTGCAGAGAGTTGCTTTGCCTCCCTAAGAGAGACTTGCTGTCACAGTTCTAGACTACCTTCAGTCGCTGCTTCCCTGCATATTGTCCAGAGATTTGCTTTAACACTGGTACTGATAGTCCCACTCCCCGGTGGTCTCAGGTTCAGGATAACTGGATCGTGATTTTTTGTTAGTTTTATTTTTTTTTTTTTTTTTTTTTTTTTTTTTTGAGGTCAAATACCAGCTCTTTTATTTTGAGTGAATTTTCAAACTTCCTTAACCCATATTATCTTCTTTTAAAAGCTCATTGTGAAGTTGATTACATTAATGTATATAAAATGTTGGGCTTGTTATGTGATACTAAATAATATTAATAAATATTAACTATTGTCAGTATTATTAAATAGTAGGATGGCATCTGATTCCGGACATTCATTGAACTCCAGCTCAATGCCTATTGATCTCAAAAACAAAGTAATAGATCCATCTAAACCCCACACACACACTATACCTAATTGTCCATTTGGAACTATATATTTCTTAAAATGGGTGAACAGAAAGCAGTCTCTGTATAAAAGAATTCTAAATACAAACCCATGCCAAGCTGTTCTTTTAATCACTTTGAGATTTCCTGGATCAGGTTGGCCTAATTGGTGTCTTCTAACAGCAGCTCTCTTAATATCAAATTTTTTTTTTTTTTTTTTTTTTAAATATTAAATTTTATTTTTATATTCCCCCATACAATTGCAAACGCCCCATTCTGACCCCAATCCTTCCCCTCCCGCCCCCACCCCCAAAAAGTGTCTCTGGTTCATAGTTTTTTTGTTGATTTTGATTTTCACTTTCTTATAGTCATTTTCCTGGTCCCTTATTTAAGTTTTCTAGATTCCTGCTATGAGTGAGACCATCCGGTATTTTTCTTTTTCTTTTTGGCTTATTTCGCTGAGCATGATCCCTTCCAGTGCCATCCATGTTGCTGCAAATTGCATGTGTTTATCTTTTTTGAATGCTGAGTAATATTCCATGGTATATATGTACCACATCTTCTTGATCCAGTCATCTATTTTTGGGCATTTGGGTTGTTTCCAAAGCTTAGCTATTGTAAACAGTGCTGCTATAAACATAGGAGTGCAGGTGCTCTTTGGAATTGATGTTTCTGTGTCCTTTGGGTAAATACCTAGGAGTGGAATTGCTGGATCATATGGAAGCTCTATGTTTAGTAGGTCCAGAAATCTCCACACAGCTCTCCATAGTGGTTGGACCAGTTTGCACTCCCACCAACAGTGCACAAGAGTTCCTTTTTCTCCACATCCTCGCCAACATTTGTTGTTGCTAGTTTTTTTAATATGTGCCATTCTCACTGGTGTGAGATGGTATCTCATGGTAGTTTTGATTTGCATTTCCCTGATTACAAGTGATGTTGAACATTTTTTCATATGTCTGTTGGCCATTTGCATTTCCTCTTCAGAGAAGTTTCTTTTTAGCTCTTCTGCCCATTTTTTGACTGGATTATTTTCTTTGTTGTTGCTGAGTCTCATCAGCTCTTTGCAGATTTTTGTGATCAGTCCTTTATCATTAGTGTTGGGTGCAAAAATGTTCTCCCAGTTGGTGGGGTTTCTCTTTGTTTTTGTTATTGTCTCTTTTGCTGTGCAGAAGCTCTTTAATTTGATGTAGTCCCAGCTGTTTATCTTTCTCTTCACTATCACTGCTTTGGGTGATGTGTCTGTAAAGATGTCTTTGATGTGCAAATCCCGTAGTGTTTCGCCTATATTTCCTTCTATGTATTTTATGGTTTCAGGTCTTATGTCTAGTTCTTTAATCCATTTTGAGTTGATTTTTGTGTATGGTGTGAGGTAGTGGTCAAGCTTCATTCTTTTGCATGTAGCGACCCAGTTTTCCCAGCACCATTTATTGAACAAACTTTCTTTGCTCCAATGCATAGTCTTTGCTCCTTTGTCAAAGATTAGTTGACCATAAATCTGTGGGTTTATTTCTGGATTTTCTATTCGATTCCATTGGTCTGTATGTCTGTTCTTGTTCCAATACCATGCAGTTTTGATGATTATGGCTTTGTAGTATAGTTTGAAGTCTGGGAGTGTGATGCCTCCATTTCCTTCTTTTTTTTTCAGTAGAGCTTTGGCTATTCGGGGTTTTTGGTGATTCCATATGAATTTCATCAATAATTGTTCTATTTCTTTGAAGAATGCCATTGAGATTTTGATTGGAATAGCATTGAATCTGTATATTGCTTTTGGTAGGATGGCCATTTTAATAATGTTTATTCTTCCAATCCATGAGCAGGGGATGTCTTTCCATTTCTTTGTGTCTTCTTCTATTTCTTTTAACAGTGTTTTATAGTTTTCTTTGTATAGGTCCTTTACCTCTTTTGTTAGATTTATTCCCAAATATTTGATTTTTTTTGTTTCGATAATAAAAGGGGTGGTTTTTTTGATTTCTTCTTCTTCAGATTTATTGTTTGTGTATAGGAAGGCTACTGACTTTTGCGTGTTGATTTTGTATCCTGCCACTTTACTGAATTGATTGATGAGTTGAATTAGTTTTTCTGTGGAGATTTTGGGGTTCTCTATGTATATTATCATATCATCTGCAAATAGTGATAGTTTGACTTCTTCTTTTCCTATTTGGATTCCTTGGATGTCTTTCTCTTGTCTTATTGCTCTGGCTAGGACTTCCAGTATTATATTGAAAAGCAGTGGTGAGAGTGGACATCCTTGTCTTGTTCCAGATCTTAATGGAATTGCTTTCAGCTTTTCACCATTGAGAATGATACTGGCTGTTGGCTTGTCATAGATGGCCTTTATGATGTTGAGGTATGTTCCTTGTATCCCAAGAATTTCAAGGGCTTTTATCATGAATGGGTGTTGCACTTTGTCGAAAGCTTTCTCAGCATCTATTGATATTATCATATGGTTTTTATATTTCTTTTTGTTGATGTGTTGGATAACGTTGATTGATTTTCGGATGTTAAACCATCCTTGTGCCCCTGGAATGAATCCAACTTGGTCGTGGTGAATTATCTTATGGATACATTGTTGGATTCTGATAGCTAAAATTTTATTGAGGATTTTTGCATCAGTGTTCATTAGGGAGATTGGCCTATAGTTTTCCTTTTTTGTGTTGTCCTTATTCGGTTTTGGTATTAGTGTAATATTGGCTTCATAGAACGTGTTTGGTATTGTCCCTTCCTTCTCAATTTTTTGGAAGAGTTTGTGAAGGATAGGCACTAATTCGTCTCTGAATGTTTGGTAGAATTCATTTGTAAATCCATCAGGTCCTGGGCTTTTGTTTTTGGGGAGGTTTTTAATTACCATTTCAATTTCGCTGCTTGTAATTGGTCTGTTTAGGTGTTCTATTTCTTCTTTATCTAGCTTTGGGTGATTGTAGAGTTGTAGGAATTTGTCCATCTCCTCTAGATTGTTGAACTTGTTTCCATATAACTGTTCATAGTAGTTACTGATTATTCTTTTGATTTCTGCTGTGTCCGTTGTGATTTCTCCTCTTTCATTTATGATCCTGTGTATTTGTGCTTTCTCCCTTTTTTCCTTTGTGAGCCTGGCTAGGGGTTTGTCTATTTTATTTATTTTTTCAAAGAACCAGCTCTTGGTTTCATTGATCTTTTGGATTGTTTTTTTAGTTTCAATTTCATTTATTTCTGCTTTGGTTTTTATTATTTCTTTTCTTCTACTGGTTTTGGGGTTTTTTTGTTGTTCTTTTTCTAGATCTTTGAGCTTCGAGATTAGGTTGTTTCTTTGAGTTCTTTCTTGTTTTTTGATGTGAGCTTCTATTGCTATATATTTTCCTCTTATTACTGCTTTTGCTGCATCCCATACATTTAGGATATTGGTGTCCTCCTTGTCATTCAATTCAAAGAATTTTTTAATTTCTTCTTTGATCTCCTCGTTAGTCCAGTGGTCTTCCAGTAGTGTGGCTTTTAATCTCCATGAGATAGGATAGTTCCTTGCCTTCTTTTTATGATTTATTTCTAGTTTGATGCCTTCGTGGTCAGAAAAGATGGTTGGTATGATTTCAATCTTGGTGTATCTGTTGATGTTTGTCTTGTGCCCCAGTATGTGATCGATCCTGGAGAATGATCCGTGTGCGCTTGAGAAAAATGTGTACTCCGTTTTTTTTGGGTTTAGTGTTCTATAGATGTCTGTTAAGCCCAAATGCTCTAGGTCCTTATTTAGAGCTTTAGTTTCTTTACTTATTTTTTGTCTTGTTGATCTATCCATTGTTGATAGTGGTGTGTTGAAGTCTCCCACTACATATGTGTTTTCTCTGATGTCTGTTTTCAGAGAGGACAACAGTTGTCTGATATATTTTGGTGCTCTTTCGTTTGGTGAGTATATGTTAATGAGTGTTATTTCTTCTTGAAGTATTGTCCCCTTAATCATAATGTAGTGACCATTGGGGTCTCTTTTTATTTTTTTGAGTTTGAAGTCTGTTTTATCTGATATAAGTATAGCTGTTCCTGCTTTCTTTTTTGGCCCATTTGCTTGTAGGATTGTTTTCCATCCTTTGACTTTGAGCCTATTTTTATCTTTTGTAGCTAAATGTGTTTCCTGGAGACAGCAAAAGGTTGGGTTTTGTTTCTTAATCCAGGCTGCAACTCTGTGTCTTTTTATTGAAGAGTTTAGTCCATTTACATTTAGAGTTAATATTGATATGTTAGCATCTGTATTTGCCATTATGTTTGTCTTTCCTTTGATTTTATTTATTTATTCTTTTAATAACTTTTTTTTTTTTGGTCTTCTTTCGTTGTTATTCGTCCCTCTGAGGTTCTGGCTTTAGGATTCCTTGTAGTATTTTTTGGAGTGGGGGTTTAGTCGCAATGAAATTCCGGAGTTTCTCTTTGTCTGGGAAGGTCCATATTCTTTCTTCATGGAGGAAAGAGAGCTTTGCGGGATAGAGTATTCTTGGTTGGCATCTGTTTTCTTGGAGTCTGTTGACTATGTCCCTCCACTCTCTCCTTGCCCGTAGTGTTTCTTCAGAGAAGTCTGATGTCAGCCTGATTGGTTTTCCTTTGAATGTTATCTGTTTCTTCCCTCTTGTCAGCTTCATTATTTTTTCCTTGTCCTGGATTCTTGGGAGCTTTACTATTATGTGTCTTGCTGTGTTTTTCCTTTCGTCGTGGAAGTTTGGTGTTCTTCTTGCTTCTTGTATATCAATTTTCAGCTCCT